CTCTCTCTCTCTCTCTCTCTCTCTCTCTCTCTGTCTCTGTCTCTGCCTCTGCCTCTGCCTCTGCCTCTGCCTCTGCCTCTGCCACTGTCACTGTCACTGTCACTGTCACTGTCTCTGTCACTGTCACTGTCACTGTCACTGTCACTGTCACTGTCACTGTCTCTCTCTCTGTCTCTGTCTCTCTCTCTCTCTCTCTCTCTCTCTCTCTCTCTCTCTCTCTCTCTCTCTCTCTCTCTCTCTCTCTGTCTCTCTCTCTCTGTCTCTCTCTGTCTCTCTCTCTGTCTGTCTGTCTCTCTCTTCTCTCTCTCTCTCTCTCTCTCTCTCTCTCTCTCTCTCTCGCTCTGCCAGTGCCGTCGCTCTGCCACTCCTCCTCGCGTTGTGTCGCGCCGGTCGCGCTGGAGGCGTCAGCTGGAGCGCCAGGCCGTGCCACTCGGGGTGATGTGTAGCGCCTGCAGCAGCGAACTCCTTCCGCAAGGCACGTGCAAGCACCTGTCCCGCGAGGTAGCGACCTCTTGTTCCCACTCATACCACGCAGCAAACAATTCTCTTGGGATGCGCTTAACCGTTAACGTGGACGTTAATTGTTCCGCAATTAACTTCTACGGCCAATGGCCGGGACACCTAGTTATATTGATTTCACCAAACTTCGCAGCACTATTATTTATGAAACGACTCATTTTATGATGCAAATGTTAGGTCAGGGACCGGCGTCGGCTGCGCAATAACGCGTGGCACGCTGTTTTAATGGACGTTGCTGGTCGCGCGTCCCGACCGGTTATTTCGTGGCGCGGCTAACCAATAACCATACCGCCACCGGACTCTCTGCACCCTCTGGATTATAATGGCCGGTCAATAATTCAATAGGCCGGCCATGCTGAAATATTGATTCGTTCTAAAGTCGTCTGGTAATCAGCAGCTCACGGGTGGGAAGTGGCGCGGCGGCGGCCGAGGCGGCCGCGCCGCCAGTTGAGGCCGCCTGAGATCAATACGGCCCGGTCCGGCGCCGCTCCAAAATGGGTGTCGGCCGGTCATTACAGTGATGGACGGCCCAGTTGCCGCTGCAGACAACTTCCAGTTGCCGCCCCCGCCGGCCGCGCCCGAGGAATGCCATAACCGGCTTAGTTGGTTGGCGGAGACGGCGGCGGTCGACCCGACCTGCCTCACCCGAGCGGCGGCGGCGGCGGGCCTGCCTGACGGCGCGCCGCGCTGCAGCCTGACCTACCCCACCGCCGCGCCGGCCGGGGAGACCGCCGTAAAATGGCCCGCCGCCGCGCCGCCGCCGACCTCAGAAGGCTCCTCTCAGCAGTCTATCACGGCTGACAGACGGCGCCGGCGCCGGCGGGACGCTGAATGCTGATTTGGAGACGGCGGGCGCGCTGATCTCCGGCGGTCGGGACTAATTTCACACCGCCTTCCCGACGGCCAGCGGCGGCGCCGGCTGCAGTGGGCGGCACCGCGCCCCGCCACCACCCCCAGGGCTCGTCCATTTTCCGCGCCAATACCGCGCTCACGACAGATCATCTCTATTCCTTTCTTTTCCGCTGCCAGTGCAGAAAATCTTCCCATCCAGAGAGATGAATCGTGAAATTTTTCCGGATTTTTTATTAGAAATTCCAAATTTATGTGCCATCTCGGCGAGACCTCATCGTCCTCGGCACTCGGGCCTCCCATCCATTATGCTCCACAATGGGGAAACATTTATCAAAGTGACATAATCGTAATTCGATGGCGCTCAGTCCTAATCAGCTGAGCCGCTGCACGATTGCCCGGTCGCCAGTGTGAGAATTCAAATGATCTGCATTAAATTGGCGCGAGTGGGCGGTGGCTGCAGCGCGCTCCTCGCGCCGCGCCGCTGGGTGGTGCTCCGCCCTCTCGGCAGGCCTACTTATCTTCTCCAAAGTTCTCTAGTGGTCTCTGGACAGTTTTTATGATGAAGTCTTATCCCGGGAAGTGCCGGCTATATTTTCAGCTGGCGGCGATTTATGTGATGGCTGTAGGGAGCGCCTGGAGAGCTGAACGTCCGGCCGCCGACTGCAGGCTCGGTCAGCCATGCGGCACCCCGGCTGGCGCTGCCGGCTTCAGTCCTCATCTATCGGCCGCCGCCGCATCCGAGAGACTAGGCGTCTCAGAGAACAGGCCATCGTCAACCTCAGGCAACAATCAGGCCGCCACAGACCTCGGGCAGAAGTGCCGACCTCAGACAGGACTACAAGGCCGCGCCACCGGCCACCTGGAGTGACCTCGCGCCTCTTGCGACAGCCGGCGCCGACCTCACTGCAGCCAGCAGAGCTGTCACAGTGTCGGGACGTGGATGGCGATGGCAGCACTGGCACTCAGGGTGTCCTACCTAACCAACCCCTTCAGAACGGAGCTCTGGGATATGAGCAATGAACAGATGATATGGCATATGAGGCAATGGGCTATGAGGTATTTACTGTGTAGTCCTAACTCGTATTTCAGAGTTCCTCGGAGGAAGAACAAACGAACTGGTGACCCATCGACCTTGGACCGGTCGTTCCCTCGCTCGCTGAGTCGGTCGGTCGGTCGGTTGGTCGGTCCGCCAAGTTAGACGAGACGCCCGTTGGAGCTCGAATGTTGCACACCTCCTGGTGGCGACGGCCCGAACCACGGCGGCCTTGGCTGGCGGCGGCAGCGACCTGCAGGCCGGCGAGGTCAGGCGCCCGTCCCCGCCCCCGCCCCCGTCGGGTCCGCTGCAGCTATACCTGGCGGTGTGTGCCTGTCCTCGAGCGTGTGGTGGACCTCAGCGGCCGCCCGACGCCGCTGTATGTTGGGAAAGGACCGTCAGCGCCCCCAGTCCGCGGTGGGACTTCGTGCCAGCACTACCAGTGGAGCTGGTGATGAAACTGGAGCTGGTGTTGGGAGCTGGTGTTGTTGCTTGGAGCTGGTGCTGAATGCTGATGCTGGGGGCTTAGTCTGTAGCTGCGAACAGCCGTCATCGGACAGCGGCCACCACCGTCTGTTGATGCTGACGGTAGCGTTCACTGCAGTCCGGGGCGGCGGCTGGCACCAACCCGGCTCCCGCCCAACCCTCCGCCTGCTACCTTGTTCGTTTCCCTTGCTTGTGTGCGTGTGTGTATCGACATCTCTCAAGCTGGCGCAGCCGATGCGTGCCTAGCCGCACTTAATTCTGATTTTCCGTGCCGGTTCACGCATATCGACAGCGGTGCCGGCTCCGCCGACTGGGGAGCGGCCGGGAGGGAGCGCAGGCGACGGACGCGGTCGCATATCGGAAAAGTTTTCGTTTCAGCTGCCAACTTTTAAAGGGCTGGAAGTGTCAGTATTAAGAATGCATTGCTGGAGTTGCGGCGCCGCCGCTGCGTGCTGCGTGCCGGATACGGCGGGGTGAAGTAGGATGGGTGGTGGGTCAGCGCCTGGGCACGGCTGGTGGGTTAGCCTGGGTCGAGTTTTGTGACGTTCGACCGGCACAGCAAAGGACGGTGGTGAATTGGTTCACCCTAGTGCGCACTTTAATGCTGGCATTGCACTGCCTTAACCCTCGCCGGCCGAGGGGGGGGGGGGGCGGGTGCCGCCCCCCCCATAGGGTTTTTTTTCGCGATAGCTCCGAACACGCTGGCGATAGAGAGCTGAAACTTGGCATACCTGACCTTTGATCCAAGCCGCATCTTTTGACACCAACCGCATTTTTGGGTCAGGTCAGGTCACTGACCTATGACGTCATAAGTGAACCTCTGCACGGTCTTCAGATGTCGCAACATCGCAACGCCCTCACTGCCAGAGGAGATGTCACAGGGAAATGAAACTTGCAGGATCTAGTATCCATTATGAGTCTCACAACTTGTATATCTCGGATTTTTCCTAAAGGTCATATGAGGTCAGGTCATTTTCGTGACCTCACCATTATAAGTCAATGGGGAAAAATGAAAACTGCTATTCTGGCGCCGGAAACAATCTCCAACTATCTCAAGCACACAGAATCGTGATTTGATGCACTCCTTGCAAGGTTAGATGCGTCACTTTTGCAATGTTGACCTTCCGTGACGTCATTTATGACGTCATCAAGGTCATATTAGTGTTTCGTCAATAACTCCCGATCAAATTGAGCTAGCGAGTCGAGAAAGCCACCAATGGACTCAGGAAGACCTGCCGAATCGAATGATATGCGACATGACCTCTTTCGACCAACTTCGTGACCTGGGGGTGCTGACCTGACCTTGACCTGAGGTCAACACCCTAAGTTGACCTGACCCGAACAAAAAGTATATCATTCGACGCGCCTGAGCGAGGCGAACACGATGCTGCCAAAATCGCGGCCCTGCGGCCGTTTTTGCGAAGTTATTCACCAAAAACTGAACCGTACCCTGGGGCACTTGACCTGACCTCAGAGGTCATCGGTTGACCTAGTACCTTAAAATCGGGTACCAATCTCTGCGTCTCGTAACGGCGCACACGTTCGTTTTTTCCGCGACGCGCTAGCTCCACCAGGGGCGAAACGGCGAGGGGGGGTCGTACCCGCCCTCCCCCTCGGCCGGCGCGTATGTAGAAAACCAATAGGTCCGGCGAGGGTTAAGGTTATTGCCGAGGCAGACTTGCAGGCTGCAGGAATGGCAGAACGGAAGTCTTACACGCCTTGCAGCGTCCGACTGGCAGAAGTGACATAGCCGGGCCTATTTAGGTACCCACATAAAGACGTCCGCTAGCGATGATCGCTAAATAGGACAATGCTGACCTGCCTCCTCAGTCCTCGACCCAGCTATTCTTTGCATTAACTCGTTATAACAACTGACTACGCCCGGCTGGAATCTTCCAAGCACCACACAATGCCCTGCATGCAGCATGGGTTTCTTTCAATTTACCTACTGTAGGTATGAACCCTGGCATACGCATATCTGCTACTTTTCATTCTTGCTGGGTTGGAGTCCGGTGCTATTCTCCGAGAAATTGAATTTCTCGTCGTCTCGTCTCGTCGCAGGTCACACCAGCTGCAGTTAGGTTTGACCCATGGTTTTCCCTGTTTTCAGATACCGAGTTGCAGCAAAGCGCAGCACAAAGTGCCATTACGTCTGCCCGGACGAATGGCCGCCGCCACCAGCAGCGCGGCCAGCGCCTCCAGCGGCCGCAAGGCAAACCAGTAGTACGTGTGTCGGCCGCACGGGCGACGTGGCGCTGCCGTCTGGCAGCCGAGGGACAGCCGGGATGTTGGCCAGCCGCCGTGGGGTCGGCCCCCGGACCGAACCCGGTGTCTGCTCGCCACTGACGGCAGCAGAGGCGATGGAACGAAGCGGGGACCGATGCCGTCGGCGTGGGGATCTGGTGTGCCGGTGTGCACACGCGCGGTAGCGCTGGGCGCGTGCAGTACGTACTACGTTAGCGCATGCACACCTACATATGCACATGTACATAGTATATATTGGGTAGGAGGCTCTGTGTGTGTGCGTGTGAGTGTATATGTTCAGAGCTGGCCTGGGCTGGCGCCCGGAGAAAGCGTAGCAGCACCGCAGCCGCTTCCGACTCCGAGCGAAACAGAGCCTTCACAATCGTACAAATACCGTGAACGCGGCTTTTGCCAGTCAGTATATATATATATATATATATATATATATATATATATATATATATATGCTGAAAGGGCATCTGGAGAGTTCCACTCATGTGTTCAGTACAGACAGATAATCTGATTGTATTTAGTGTACAGTAATCGCGAACGTTATGTCGTCAATGAATTGACACACACGGTTCTTTCCATAAGTGAGGTACTTAGTTTGGTTTGGAGCGTGGCGCGGCGCCGCCGGGATGGATTCTCTCTCCATATCCAAGACGTGTTACGCCTAGGCAGATCTTGTTCGTATTCGGTGTTACCGAGAGCGTTGCCTGTTTCTCGAGGTGCGTTATTCGGCCGCGGGCGCGGCGCCCGCGCTGGGGCGAGCCGCGCCCGGCCTGGGTGGGCGCTAGGTCACGCGGTAGTCGGTCGTAGGTCGGCCTGCGGGCAGCCCGCCGCGCGTTGTTCGCCCCCGCTTTGTGTGTGCCTCCGAGCGCCGGCCGTGCTGTGTACCCTGCTGGCAGGCGCCACCGGCCCGCGCCCTGTGCCTCGCTCAGCCCCCCTCCCCGCCTACCGCTCACACCGCGACTAGCTAATGATGCACAAATCAAAATGGGCCGCCGCGCCCCACCCAGAGTGGTTTGTCTCGGGACTGGTTGCATTTTGATAGTTTTATAATGACTATATATCAACAACGACACTAGCACCGGAACATCGAAAGGCGGCGCGTCTACCGGCGCCGTATCGAGCCGAGCCCCGACCCACCCACCCTCCCGCTCGCCTCCGCAGCGCTTGTGATACCTGTAAATAGGAATATGCACGATGGGCCGTGTGTGTGCTGCAGCCCGGGTCGCTCGGCCAGTGAGCTGGCGCGGCGTGCGCGTGCGAGCAGCCGGGTGTCACCGGCGGCCGATCCCCGGAGCGCCGCCGCACCCTCGCCCCGCCACCCGAGCCGCTAGTATGAAGCAAGCATTGTGCGCCGCCGCCGCCGCTTTTGTAACTGGGTCGTAGCAGCTGTGTGCCGGCGGTCGGCCGGCGCTGACCGACTCCGTCTCGCTGCCACTCTGTAAAGCAATGGGCGGCGCGCGCGGCCCCGGCCGCCGCGAGCTTACCTGGGCGGTCGAGCGGCCGCGCCGCCCGCCGGCCGCCGGCGGCGCTTCAAACGTACGGGTAAGGTCTGATGCCAGTTGGGAATCTACACACCGCGCCTTCCGCTCCGCAGCTCTCAGTCTCTCCAAATTGTGCGCTTGCTATCGCTCCCTCGCGCCGCTCCTGCCTCCTCCAAACTGCCGAGCGGTCCTGCGGGACCAGCTGGGACCGCCCCACTGTCCGCTGCGGTCGCCCCGCTGTCCGCTGCGGTCGCCCCGCTGTCCGCTGGGACTGCCCCGCTGTCCGCTGGGACTGCCCCGCTGTCCGCTGTGGTCGCCCCGCTGTCCGCTGCGGTCGCCCCGCTGTCCGCTGCGGTCGCCCCGCTGTCCGCTGGGACCGCCCCGCTGTCTGCTGCGGCCAGCTCTCCGGTACTGCGCGGTCCCGCTGGCACGGATGACCGCCAGAGCCGAGGTGCGGTCCGACTGCCCCCTCGGCGCCGTGCCCCTTCTGCACCCACCCCGCTGTTCATCCGGTTCTTGTTGCGCGCGGGCCGCCGGGGGTGGAGTGTATTTTTGTAGCTGTTCACGTTAAGCTATGTGTTAATGTTACACAAACGTGAGATCGATGTGACAAAACAGTTTTAGTGCCCTATCAAATATAATCCCATTGGCTAGCTGGTGTTTTGCGATGGACGGTGGTTTCTACTGGGATGGGGAATGGGAACTTCCAAGTTCCATGGTATGGACGGTGACCGACGCCCGAGAGAACGCCAGTCGGTCAACACCTGAATGATTCGAATAAATTATACGAATAAATAAATTCGATCCATGCGCTCAAAAAAAAAAAAAAAATCGTAGCGTTAGATGTCTCGCTATAGCAGTACATGACTCGAATATTAGATTAGCGAGAGATTTAAAGAACTTAACGTTTTACCGGCTGTATATTTCACCGTTTCGAAAGTTACACTGAAAAAATAAAAGATCGTTGTCTCCTCACATAAGCCATATATTGCTCTCGGTGGGAAAAGCACGAGCACACCCATACAGACGTGAGCCCTGTACCCCGGAAAGTAGCAACCACCCACAAACCCTACCCTGGATCTTTGGCACCTAAAACATTTTCAGTGCGTCGTCTAATGTAACAGCTAGTTTTCCCCATCGCGATTGGGCCGGTTTGCACGGCACATCCCTCTCAACCAGGGCACGTAAAAAAGAACAGTCCGGGGAAAGGCACAGAATCACGACGCATTGTAGCACGGTTTAGAAGACATATTTCGCTCCCCCGTTTCACTATTTTCAGCCACAGCACATCACCTATAGTCGCAGCCGAGCCGGTCTGTTCCGGTCTCCGCCGGCTCAGTGCGCTGGCGGACAGCCGTCCGGCGTGTCGCCCTGCCACACCGAGCACACGTAGCCGAGGAAGTCGTCCAGCATCTGCCCCTGGTGCTCCTGGCGGCCGTCGACGCTGACGGTGGGCACCTCGACGATCTCCGGCCGCGCCGCGTCCGTCATGTCCCGGTAGGGGATCATCAGCTGGTCGGTGTCCCTCCGCAGCTGGCAGTCGGTCAGTGACAGCCAGTCGAGCCCCGTCTGCTGGGCGCACTGCTCGCCGGCCATCTGCGACTCCAGGCAGATGGAAAAGTCCACGGAGACGGCCGGGCTGGGAGCCAAGTAGACGCCGCACGCGTGCAGCTTGTTGCCGCGACACTCGGCCGGGCCGTGCTGACACTGAAACACCCAGCCGCCGGCACCGTCCGGCGTGGCCGTGGCGAACCCCCAGGGCACCAGTGTGACGTTCAGGATCTCGGGCACGGCGTGCCACGCCTCGGCGAAGCTGCCAGACACGAACGCCTGGCAGTCGGGGCAGAGCGACTCGTAGTAGAGCACGACCTGCAGGGGCGGCGTGGGGTCGGCCGCTGCAGCCGCCACCGCCGTGAGCAGCAGCGACCACACGACGATGAACATGACGGCAGATAGACGGAGGGCTGCACACACTCTGTAACACAACAGACACAGGTCTGGGCGGTGATGTCGACCCCACTGCCTGTCGCGCCCTAATGACGCTCGGCGTGACAGAGATATAAGGGGCGAGAGCAAGCGGCTGGCCGGCCGGCGGCAGGTGGCCCACTCTCACAGCCCCGAGTGCTGGTCGGGTCCCGCTGCCGAGCGCCGGCAGATAGCCCCGTCGGGACTCCGCACTTCCGTCAGGAGAGACGTTTCTCAGCACAAATGATAGCCAAACGATAACACGTGAAGCGGACGGGAAAACACAGCTCCACACGTCACATATCAACACTGTAGAACGCTTAGCGGTAGAATTATGGCGAATGACATTTTAGAATTGACAAGAGACATGAAATATTACACAACATAAGATAAGGAACATGTGCAAGAACGCATGTGCGGAGTGCAAGCACGCGGTACACCTCCATACCGCTCTGATGCCTGCGGAAACGGAGAGACGCGTTAGGAGCCAGGACAAATGCTTCACCCTATTAGCCTTTCCTTTCAGACACACAGGTGAGGTGCTCACCGTGTTTCACCTAGTGGTTGTCACAGGAAGCTAGAGTTAGGCAGATGGCGCCGCGTTCGCCAAGCTTGCGTTGAGATATTCGGGGCTTAGCTATATGTTCCGATATATAGGTATTCAGAATTTAGACGTTAACCCGCGCCCCGCTGGGCTATTCAGCCATACGCACCCTGCTGGGGGGGGGGGGGGGGGGCAGATTCTTCACCCTCCCCCTGTCTAACTTCCGAACAGATGGTCGAAGAAAGACGGGAAGAACGACAATCGAAAGCTCTCAACAAGGCGGATCTTAAGAGCCTAATTTTTTTTGCTGAAGTAGGTCAGAGGTCAGATCAAGGTCAGGTCAAGGGTACAAAATGCAAGTTTCTACAGTATCGGCCTTGCACCGTAGTTGACGAAGAATGGACTGAGACTAATTGCCCAAAACGTGTTCTTAGGCTACCAAGACAATATTCGTTGCATACAATACAATGTCATGCAAAGGTCAAGGTCAAGGTCAGGTCAGGTCACCAAAAACGAAATATAGAAAAGGGCATGTGCGACACGTGTTTTATGGGTCATTTTATTCATAGAATTCAATAGGCACACTCAATAAGTGATATTGACTACATCTGGATGAATTTCAGGTCGAGGTCAGGTCAAGGTTAGGTCAAGTGAGGTCAAATTTTGAAGTTGGTTGTTAAGCCCTAAAAAGGTGTCTATCTGATGCAGTTTTTCACGGCGAATCGAATGGTGCTATTTTTGTTTCCGTACGAGGTCTAGAACTTCCAAAAAAATCATTTTTCAAAAAAATTGTGTGTCGTAACGTCATAAAATTTTGAATACCTAACTCCCACATTTTTTAACCGATTCTTCTAAAAATTGGTATGTAGGTGCACACACGGGCGTAGGAACGTCATGAAAAGTGGGTGGGCCACCCTGTCGAGGGGCCTCCTTTTCTAGGGGGCCTCCTAGTTTCAGGGGTCTCCAACTTTTGCCTCGTCCTGCTTTCAAGTATGATCTCCAAAGCTAGCTTCTGAGATCGGGCAGATGTAGGTACGTAAGTACCTGCAGGGGCGTAACTGCTTAAGCGAACAGTGCGGAAAGTCCGCACTATTTTTTAAAGTTAGTCCCCTCTCCGATTTTTTCTTTAGAATCTATTTGCCGCAAACAGCGCATGACCCCTGAAAACCCTTACACAAATGTCTTCCTCGTTTCACAGGCGCCCCCATTCCTATATGTCCCACAGGCGCCTCTCTGTCGCATACAATGTGCCCTTATCATAGGCGCCACTCTTTTATGGACCTTGGAGGCGCCTCTCTTTGCCATGCCGGCGCCCCTGTTTCGTATGAATGCACCTCTATGGCATTGATAGGCGCCCCTGTATTGCATGTGGACGCCCATATATGTACTATGTAGGCCTCCGAGGCGCCCCTCTTTCGCATTGAGGCGCCCCTATGGGCTTCATAGGCGCCACTCTACTGCATGTAGGTACCCTTACTGCCTCAGAGCCGCTCCTCTTTGGCATGCAGACGCCCGTCTTTTGGAATTCATATCAACTCTCTTTCGCATGAAGGCGCCCTTATCATCTAAGCGCCGGCGTTGGACTCTTGAGGGCGGCATGAGACCTATCAGAGCTATCAGCTAAGCGATAGAGCTTGCCAGGCGCCTTCAGAAGCTCTGTGTGGTTCTTAGAGACCGCACGGTGCTCTCAGACGCAGGTGGGGCCCTTGGAGTCGACAGTGTGGGACCTTCAGGTTCGCCGATGGGTGCCCGCCAGATGTGGACCCTCAGAGACGCCGGTATGGGTCCCTCAGAGGCGCCGGTATGTGGCCCTCAGAGGCGCCGGTATGTGGCCCTTAGAGACACCGGTGTGGGACCCTCAGAGACTTCAGTGTGAAGCCCTCACTTACAACTGCTGGTGCGGAGCTATGAATGCTCCGGCGTAAATCCCTCAGAGGCCGGTATGGGACATTGGAGCTCAGTGAGAGCTTGTGTGGTGCCTTCAGTGGCCTTGTGAAGCCGTTAGACATCAACATGGTGCTCTCAGGCGCCGGTGAGTCCTCAGAGTCACCGGTGTGGGGCCTTCAGAGCTCAGAGATACTGGTGTGGGGCCCTCAGAGGTGTCGGTGTGGGTCCTTCAAATGTACCTAGTTATAGAGCCTTGAGATGCACAGGTGTATGGCCCCCAGAGGCGCAGGTGTGAGGGCCCCAGAGCCACCGATATAGGGCCTTAACCCTCGCCGGACCTATTGGTTTTCTACATACGCGCCGGCCGGGGGGGGGGGGGGCGGGTACGACCCCCCTCGCCGTTTCGCCCCTGGTGGAGCTAGCGCGTCTCGAAAAAAACGAGCGTGTGCGCCGTTACGAGACGCAGAGAATGATACCCGATTTTAAGGTCCTAGGTCAACCGGTGACCTCTGAGGTCAGGTCAAGTGTCCTAAGGTACGGTTCCGTTTTTGATGAATAACTTCGCAAAAAACGGTCGCAGAGCCGTGATTTTGGCAGCATCGTGTTCGCCTCGCTCAGGCGAGTCGAATGATATAGGGGAGACCCGGGAGGTATGGGCCGGTTTTGTGAAAAGGCAATTTTCTTCCAGTGGGCAGTGGCTACAACCGGTTTTTCACTCTGTGTACGTGAACTTGCCTTTCGCCTGCAAAGTGTGCCTGATATTAGGCATCTAGGATCAACTATTTTGTCTCGAGATAACTTTCAATGGCCCATACCTCCAGGGGGCCCATACCTCCCGGGTCTCCCCTACTTTTTGTTTGGGTGAAGTCAAGTTAGGGTGTTGACCTCAGGTCACGGTCAGGTCAGCGCCCCCAGGCCACGAAATAGGTCGAAGGAGGTCATGTCGCATATTATTCGATTCGGCAGGTCTTACTGAGTCCATTGGTGGCTTAACGACTCGCTAGCTCAATTTGATCGGGAGTTATTGATGAAAAACTAATATGGCCCTAATGACGTCATAAATGACGTCACGCAACGCAAGGCCAACATTGCAAACATGACGCATCGAACCTTGCAAGGAGTGCATCAAATCACGATTATGTGTGCTTGAGATAGTTGGAGATCGTTCCCGGCGCCAGAATAGCAGTTTTAATTTTTTTCCCATTGACTTAGGTACATAGGTACCTATGTATAGTGGTGAGGTCACGAAAATGACCTGACCTCATATGACCCTAAGGAAAAATCCGAGATATACAAGTTGTGAGACTCGTAGTGGATACTAGATCCTGCAAGTTTCATTTCCCTGTGAAAGCTCCTCTGGCAGTGAGGGCGTTGCGAAGTTGCGACATCTGAAGACCTTGCAGAGGTTCACTTATGACGTCATAGGTCAGTGACCTGACAAGAGGTATACGATGCAAAATAATCCAAGCATTCGTCCAAGAGGATTTTGGTGCAAGATGCCTCTGACCTGAAAAGGCGGTTGGTGTCAAAAGATCCGGCTTGAATCAGAGGTCGTATGCCAAGTTTCAGCTCTATCGACAGCGTGTTCGGAGCTTGAGCTATCGCGAAAAAAACATATGGGCCTATGGGGGGGGGGGCACCCGCCTCCCCCCGCCTCGGCCGGCGAGGGTTAAGACGTTTCCTGAAAATTTGAGCGAAATCTGTCTGATTTTTTTTTAGAAAATGACGTTTTAGTGACGTCATGTCCGCCATTTTCGCCAAAAAACGGCATAATTTCAAACGCCGCTAATATCTTCATTTTTAAAGGAATCAAGACGTAACAAAAAAGGTGTTTCTACTTTGTGTTTCTACTTTGTCTATCAAATGGTTATCTCGTTTTTTTGAAAATTTTGGATTTTGGCCCCATTTTTTTAAACTCCCGTTGTAGCGTCCTTCCCGTTGTAGCGCGCCCGTGCGCGCCGCTGCCCTCACGCTCTCTCCGCTCTGCCCTTCCCGCGGCTGTTCGGGCCCGCGCTGCGATGTGTCGGCGTAACTACCGTGTGTAGTGTAGCTCCGTGGTTAAGGAGCCGACGCCTGGGAGTAGGATGATAACCGTGTGCGGATGATAGGTGCGGATGATAGGTATGTACAATCATACATCGATGTGAGCGTGTGTTGTGAGCTTGCGCTGTGCCATTTTCGCTGCCAAGGTGTTACCTACCGGACCTGCGCTTTATGGTGTCCGGGGTCCAGGGAGCTGAAGCGCAGCGTCGGATATCACCACGAACGCCATGTAATGTGTCACGTTATGAATAAAGAGTCACGGATGTGAATTTTTTTTTTTAAAAAAAACTATCTCAAGCACACATAATCGTGATTTGATCCACTCCTTGCAAGGTTAGATGCGTCACTTTTGTAATGTTGACCTTGCGTGACGTCATTTATGACGTCATTAAGGTCATATTAGTTTTTCGTCAATAACTCCCGATCAAATTGAGCTAGCGAGTCAGGAAGTCCACCAATGGACTCAGGAAGACCTGCCAAATCGAATGATATGCGACATGACCTCTTTCGACCAACTTCGTGACCTGGGGGCGCTGACCTGACCGAGACCTGAGGTCAACACCCTAAGTTGACCTGACCCCAAACAAGAAGTATATCATTCGACGCGCCTGAGCGAGGTAAACACGATGCTGCCAAAATCGCGGCTCTGCGGCAGTTTTTTTGCGAAGTTATTCACCAAAACTGAACCGTACCTTGGGGCACTTGACCTGACCTCAGAGGTCACCGGTTGACTTAGGACCTTAAAATCGGGTACCAATCTCTGAGTCTCGTAACGGCGCACACGCTCGTTGTTTCCGCGACGCGCTAGCTCCACCAGGGGCGAAACGGCGAGGGGGGTCGTACCCCCCCCCCTCGGCCGGCGCGTATGTAGAATGAAACCAATAGGTCCGGCGACGGTTTAATTGATGAATGATAAGGTACTGAAAGTTTGACGTCGTTGGCGTAACGCGTTTAGAAGTTATTGGCGAAAAACGGGAGGGGGCAGATTCTGCCCCCCCCCCCCAGCGGGGCGCGGGTTAACCCTCGCCCATGTAGGGGGGGGGGGTTGGTGCAACCCCCCCCCCCCCTGAGGTTTTTCTTAGCTACACGCCGAACCGTTTCAGATAGCTTGCTCAAATTTTCAGTACCCTCTGGGGCATCCTTTGCGCAACTTTTTTTGTCAAGGTCATGTCAGGTCACGGAGTTATGACGTCATAAAGGGAACAACCTCCGGCCAGATTTACGCTAAATTGGAGATTGCTTCACATTGGTATAAATGCCGACTGACCTGACACACTGATGGATTGTTATAGAACAACAACTGGCTGATTTGACATTGGCACAATGTCCGTTGACATTTTGAAGGTTACTTAAGGTCAAGGTAAGGTCAGTGACCTCGGTTGACCTGTAATGACTTCTTGCACTTGTATGCCTTTTCGGGGTATTTTGATGCCCTGAATTCGAATTTGCTATCCATTTCAGGCATCGTCGGTTGTTTCTTGTAGTTCATTTTGGGTCAGGGTCAGGTCAGTGACGTCACACGCCTGACGTGACCCAATGCACAAATGACCTTGCAGACTTCCGAAGCTCCCAACGCATCATTTTTAGAGTTATGACATCGAAATACACACCACACGATAGAGAATTGATCAAGGATCACGATAGTGAAGGTTTTAAGTCGATATCTCTTACCGTTTTGCCGCAATCGGCGCGGAAATCTGAAAAAGTTAGATTTTTCCGAAAATTTGACCTTTGACCGGTCATTACGAGCGAGCGAGCGCAGCGAGCGAAGCGAGTCTTTTCAATATAACGGAAAAATCTCAGTATGAGCGGCAAGGCCCGGCCCGGCCCGGCCCGGCCTGTAACGCTTTTGAGAGGCTTATATCTCAGCAACCGCTGGACCGATTGGCCTGCGGTCTTTTTTTGCTGGGTAGCCCCATCCCTTCTACCCCGTAATTGACTACTTTTGATGCATCTCAGTGACCGTCGTGGCACGTGCCACGTGAAAAGTCAAGGGTGTTCAAGCTGTTTTGCAAAAGTAGTGATTTTGAGAGGCCCATATCTCAGCAGCCGCTTGAGCGATTGTCTTGCGGTAATTTTTGTAGGGTAGCTGCATCCCTTCTACCAAAGGTCGGATACTCTTGATCTATGTGAGTGACCCCCAGTGCACGTGCAAAATACAACAATAAGAGGTGCCAAATTTGTTCCCATTTCAATAACTCTGTAATTACTGGGGCGATTTCGCTGAAACTTGGCATACAGGCAGGTACCCACCAGGCAATGCATTCCCATGTGTTGCGGTTAGGGTGCTACTGCACGTGCGCACGTGCAGGGGGCGCTCCCAGATCTCGAGAACGGCTGGGCCGATTGCGCTCAAATTTGGTACACGGTTGGGGACCGGTTAGAAGGGTGCCTTGCAAAAGTCAGTTTGGACCCCGTTTGCACGTGCGCACGTGCAGAATGTCGCTTCCAGATCTCAAGAACGGCTGGGCCGATTGCGTTCAAATTTGGCACACCGCTAGCGACCGGTTAGAAGGGTGCTTTGCACAAGCCCGTTGGAAGTACCCTCTCGCCTTTCCGCACGTGCAGGGCTCACTATCTCGCTCGCTCGTTCTTCGCCCAAAAGGCGTTTTACTGGTAAGTAGGTCAAATGTTGACCTAGGACCAAAAAATATACCACCAATCGCGAGATCTCGTTGAGAGCAATCCGTTGGTCTTTTCCGCTAAGCTCTACGACGCTCCGTTTTCAAACGCCAGGGGGGGGGGTCGCACCAACCCCCCCCCCCCCCCCTGCATGGGCGAAGGTGGCAAAACACCGTTTACGGGCGAGGGTTAACTTACTGAGCGAAACTTTAGCATCCTCAGCCGTGTCAGTGAGTTACACACATCTATAGGTTTCACTTTGGTACCTATTGCATAACTCTGCAGCCCTGAGGGCGAGAACATGACCCCTGTTTGCACAAATCTATATTTCTATACGGCCAGAGTAGCATGACTTGTCACAGGACAGGACGAAGGTTTTAAGCATCGTATACATACATACATACATACATACATAAAGGTTTATTTGACCACATGACAGTCAACGACTGGTAAAAAGACCGTACATGAGCTCCTGTGCAATGGTGGCACCACATGAAGAAGTGAGAAGCATCACAAAAATTAAAAACACAGTGCAGTTCAAAAGAGCTTTACTGCTATCCGGGAGGGACGATGGATGCCAGGTGGCGCTTACCTTAGCCCGTAAATCGAATCAGGACGAATCGCTTAGAGATGGAGGTGGCAGCTTCTCCTAGATCAAGCTGCTCCTTGATCAGGCTCCTAGATCAGGCTGCTCCTTGGCTCCTGAAAAAAAAAATGTTGTGCATAGGCATATAATATAATAGACAAACTGCAACCACAATGTATGCCACAACCATGCCACAAAGAAGCAAGTTGTATTTGAGCGAAATGCGTCATGTTTGGCGAGAGTTGCGGCTACCATATTCGACGGGTGAAGTTTTTATGCTGCACCACGGCTACCAGTGGCGCTACTCTGGTGGAGCGTCTTGGAACTATTTATTACTGTGCACTGTAACTGGGCTTGCTGTTACCACGGATCACATTAGGTGCAGGCCCATGTCGTCCCCTATCTCCGCGTGTGTCCACTAACACGAATGACGTCACGCATGTGGGCGGAGCTATGGGCGGAGCCTAACGCACGCGGCTGTCCAAGCCGCCATATTTGAATTTATATTTTAATAGAATCTTACCGATATTTTGGGTGAAGTCAATTTATATGGATAGCTTGGTGACAGTTTAGCTATACGAATAATATTTTATTATGGATGTGCGTATATTCAGCTTGGAATTGCAATTAAAGTTCCGCACCGCATAGATTCGAACTCGGGACCTTTGGAATACTGCGCGGGCACGCTAACCACTACACTACCGCGACCGCGCGGCGGCCGGCGGCAGGGAGGCTGCGGAGACATGGGGGGACATTTTACGCTTTTGTGAAAAAAGCAAAAGATTTAGCGAAAAATACGTAATAGATAACTTGCAGAAAATTGTCTGCTCTTTCAGATAAGATACTTAGGTTTGATATATCTTGTGCAGACTTCATTCTACAGTGCTTCGAAAATCGCTCATTTACATGGGGATTGAACGGGGCTTCGAGACTTGACTCCAAATGACGTCACGAGCTGACGTCACGAAAAGGTAGAATCGCCGGACGACCCTACCTGGTATATAGGGCCTTGATTAGGTGATCCGTGCTGTTACCATAGGCGTAGGAACAGGGGGGGCCGGGGGGGCCATGGCCCCCCTACTTTTTAGCCATTTTTTAAAAGTAAAATCTTTATTTTTTATTTAAATACAAAACTAAGAGCAGGAAATGATTCAGCAAGGTGAGATGAGCACAAAACTGCAAAGAATTTCTTCATAGGGGTATTGGGGCTCCCACAAAGTGACATTGAAGTTTCGCTGGCCCCCCCCACTTTTCGTGAGGTTCCTACGCCCATGGCTGTTACTATACCTGCATCACACGGGGCCGGTAAAATGTTTCATTCGGGACCGAGGGAATAGGGAGTTGTTGAGTTTGCCGCGCTAGACCGAAGGTCAAGGGCGGAAAATCAACGAATCAACCAAGCATGACCAAGCCTAATAGCCTGAGGTCCTGTATGAAATATTCCGGCCCAAGTGTGATGCATATTTATTTTGCCGTATGCCGTCAAGTTTGCATCTACGCCTATTTAACCCGCGCACCGACGGGGGTCTGCGCCAACTTCGTACCGACGGGGGGGGGGGCGGATGACCGCCCCCCCCTGAGATCTCGAGAACGAAGCAAGATAGCGACAAGCGGTAAACGGCATCGGATACGCACGGCCAAGATCTACAATTTTTACTAAGGTCATTTTCAGGTCAGGTCAAAGATGACGTCACAGGGGTCGAAAAAGTCAAAATGGCGGCGCTAGATATGGAGAGAGTTTTTCTCGAATAACTTTCGAATTAGTCAAGATAGGAACAAACTAAGGGCATCATCGTGATCCTCTCGTCAATCCGCATCGAATGATATATATGTTGACCTCGAAAGGTCAAGGTCAAAGGTTGACCTCAGGTCACGTGACCACGAGGTCATCATGTATATCATTCGATGCGTCTTGACGAGCTGAACACAATGAGACCATCCACGCGTCTGTATCTTGTTCCTGTACGGAGTTATTGGCCAAAAACCTTTGGTGACCTTTGATGACGTCACATGACCTCACAGCTGCCCAACAGCAAAACAGACCTCAAGGTAGTGAAGGTTGATCGTATATGAAGTCATGTATGGTATATGGGGCCATTCCGACCCGTTTTAGTGGTAAAAACAGGGAGTTGATTTTTCCCCCATTGACTTATAATGGGGAGGTCGCGAAATTGACCTGACCTTAGGTCACCGATATCAAAATTCCGAGATATACAAATTGTAGCTACTAATGACCTAATAATATCCTGTGAGTTTCAAAGGCCTCCGACATCTACTGTAGCTCTGGCACGGTGACAAAGTTGCAAAAAAGTGACTTGAGGTTGGGTCATTCAAAGTGACCTGGTGACCTGACCTTAAAAGGTAGGAGGTTCAAACTTGCACACCATGTGTAAAATTGATGAGGTTATAGTCATACCAAATTTCGCGGCGCTACGCGCCGCGGTTTTCCCGCTATTCGCGAAAAACCTCAGGGGGGGGCGGATATCCGCCCCCCCCCCGTCGGTGCGCGGGTTAACAATAGCACGAGCCTGAAAGAAGTGGAAAAGGCAAGAAGACCGAATATCGAGAACTAAAAAAAAGTGATTATTGTCTGGCAAATACCATGAACCAAGTCGCCTCAAGATCGCCGTATTTCATCTTTATGTCTGGCTCTGAGTTGGATTCATATAAAACTAAGAACATCTACTTTAATCTATGTCACAGAAGAAGCTAGAGTAGGGTAGAAGGTGGTTAGCATGGACGTTTGTCCATGCTAAGGGAAACTGATCACTAATCGCTTATTTTGGCAAACAAAGAGTTTGCCACCACTCGATTCATTTGCATTTTGTCTTACAACGGTGAAAAGATGAAGACCTAGCTTGATTAACCCGCGCCCCGCTGAGGTCTGGCAGGTTCCACGTCCTGTTGGGGGGGGGGGGGGCAAAGGGCCCCCCGTCGTATCTCCGGAACCAATAGCCGGATCGAAAAAAATTCAAACGGCAGTCGAAAGAGCTCATCGAGATGCACAAGATAGGATAGGCATCGATGACCTTGATATCTAACCTGTGACGTCACAGGGTGGTCAAATACGGTCAAATCAGTCCAATTTGCAATGACGAGAAGTCGGTAATAAAAATGAAATCTAAGTTTTCAAAATGAGTCTGGATATGATGCATATGATAGATCTGGCATGTGGATAGTCACCTGAGTGGATGTTGACCTGTGACGTCACAACAGGGGTCAGCCTCGACCAATCAGAAAACACTTTGGTGAATCGTAAGGAAAGGCATGTTAAATTGTGAATATTCGAGTCTTTATCAAGACATGTCATATATATGCATCCACAGAAACCTCATTGACCATTTTTTTTTATTGGACCTATGACGCCACAGGAAGGTCAAATAAGGTCAAATTGTATCGGTTTACAACGAAAAACAATTGTTTACGTAAAAGTGAGTATAGTCACGTAAAGGATCATATTCAGTCAACAAGAGGTTGATAAGAATCATAAATATTATTCGTGACTGATTTCAAGCACAAATACCGAAAATGTTGTGACGTCATAAGAACAGTCGCTACTTTTTCAGTCATTCAAATGGGTATATCTCAGGCAGTTTTAGAGATATTTTGTTAATTTTTGGCATGTGTAAGGCCAGTAAGGGGTTCTCTAACATATATTCCGTTTTTTAAATTTCCCCAAATTTCAAAAATATATCAAGAAATCCAAATTTTGAGTTAGAAAATCTCTAGATCTAAAGATTTTTATAGTTTGGAAATTTAGAGATATCCATTTTGTTTGCCATACTTTTTATACCTACGGTCCAATTTTTGAGTCGCCAAGTTTAAACCCTGATTTTCTGCGAGTTTTCTCCGTGAACAACTTCTTCGACGAAAAATCGCCGAACATGACCTCAGTTTGACCTCTATAGCTCGTGACCTGAGATGACCTGGGACCTAATTTTTCAGGGGTTGTGTAAAATTGATGTCCGGAGAGGTACTGAAAGTTTCAAGTCGAAAACCGCAGCCGTTTCTGAGTTATCTCCGAAAAACTACAGGGAGGCCTTTGGCCCCCCCCCCTCCCCAACGGGTCGCGGGTAAATAAAGGGGAGAGTGGGACAAGATGCCCCCTCGGGTAAGACGCCCAGTATAGCCTCTAGCGTTAAAACAAACAACGTTGAGACGTTTTCATAGTCCACGTTTTTCATGCCTTTGGGCCCCCCAACGGGTCGCGGGTTAATAAAGGGGAGAGTGGGACAAGATGCCCCCTCGGGTAAGACGCCCAGTATAGCCTCTAGCGTTAAAACCAACAACGTTGAGACGTTTTTCATAGTCCATGACCCTTGTGTAAAGCAGAAGCATAGATTGGTTGCGTATCAAACAATTATGCGTCTTCAATAAAGTTTGTGACGTGGATGGGATGCGACGTACCTATGTCTTATCGTGAAGTTTAATTAAAGGAGTCTAAACATACAAACAGTAACACATAATAAAACACTCGATAAGCACACTCACGCTTAAACTATTTTGGGACCCTTCCACCTTCAAAAAAGTTAATGAATTGACATAAAAGTGATGCAACATGGTTCAGAAGGAGCAAAAATGAATATGTCACCAATACGAGTATTCAGCCGAAAATATTCACCGGTTTTTAAGATATTACACTTAAACTTCTGTTTATTTTTTGAGACATCCGCTGTTTCTATAATGTCATTTGGAAGCAATTATTTGACATATTAGCCCGCGCCTCACTGGGGTCTGCGTAGGGGAGAGTGGGGAAAGATGCCCAGGGGTTTGTTATGTCATATATTATTCGAAAATGTCCATCGGAAAGCAAAAAACTTGGAGTTTCAACGGAAGCCGACATCACTTGTCTCCATAAAATATCACTCTTTCGTGCTTGAAATATGATTACTTTTTTGCTATTAACCCTCGCCCGCACATGGGGGAGGTTGTTGCCGCCGACCCCCCCCCCCCCCCCCCCAGGTAGTTTTTCTGCTCTGCACTCGCCTGATTTTTCGTATAGCTGCTCCTTTATCCTTTCTTGATGTCCACTGGAAACTTCAAGTTTCTGTGGTTTTTGGTTTCGGAGATATGACCTTGTTCTTCAGGTCATGTCATGACCCAAATAACAAATATTCAATATCTTGCGTTGGCTATGGGTCTTGTAAGCTTTTGACACCTTGATTTCGGCCTTTTCTTCAAAAATGACTGAGTTATACGCAACATAGTCAAAAGTTCACAATTTTAGACTTTTCAAATCCATTTTTATTACGTTTTTGACATTGCATTATTGGTCTCAAGATAGGGGCCCAGGCTACCTGTAGTTTTGATGTAGTGAATAGTGAATACCCTTAGCCTCGCCACAGCTCAGGCCGAGTGCACCCCTCCTTTCACCCAGCCCCAACCCTACTCGAGTTGTGGCGAGGGTGAGGGTATTCACCGCATCCGAACTACAGGTCGCCTGTGCCCTTATCTTGAGAACAATAGTACCATAATATAAATAGCACCATCGTGTTTCTGAGCTCAAAGCGCATCTGAATAGACATCTTTTTTGTTGAAAAATTACATTTTCGAAATTTGATTTTTTCCCTGAAAGTTCTTACCATTTTTTACCTCAGATAAATTCAGCTGAAAATGACCTCAAATGACTCAAACGATACTGTTTTCGAAATATATGAGTGAAATGGGCCATAAAACATGTGTCACGTGACCGATGCATGCCATGCATGACATAACATTTGCGTGACCTAGGGTGACCTGGTCTTGACCTGAAAAAATCAAAGTACAAGTTTTTTACCCTCAAGGGACTTTCGGACTTCGAATCGGACGTGTTAGCCGGCATGAATGAGGACAGTAAATAACCAAGAAACAAACAATAAACACAAAATATGGTCAAATAACCAGCGCCCCGTTGGGGTCTGCCGAGCAACGCGCCTTGTTGGGGGGGGGGGGGGCAATTTGCCCATCCCCCTAAGATCTCGAGAACCACGCAACATAGCGACAAGCAGCAAACGGTGTTAGATAGCCCCAACAGGGAACTACCTTGTGACTCATTTTCATTGACCTAGGTCAAACCGATGACGTCACAGGTCAGGCCAAATGTCGAATTTTCACCGTTGACAGGCATTTCAAGAAATACGTTGTAAATCGAGTAAAATGCATTTCATTGAAAATCATCGATGGGCAAATGTTCGTCAAACACATATTTTGTTATTTCAGGTCACTGATACCAGGTCAGGTCACAGAGGTCAGGTCACTGAGGGTCAATAGGAAAATATCAAGTGATGCATGTTTTATGGTCCACTTTATATGCTAAATGCGATTATGTGGGTCAAGCAGCCTTTGGGGTCAGTTTAGATTATGTTCTGGTAAAGTTCAGGTCAAGGTCAGGTCAAGGTCAGGTCAAACTAGGTCAAATTTCTAAGTTGATATTTTTGCATAAAATGGATATCGATTCGATGCAGCTCGTTACGGGGAGTTCAATGGTGATCTTTGTTTTGCGCTACGTGGTCTAGAATTGCTAAAAATTGAGGTCAGAAAGTTGACGTCATCAATTTTGAACAGTTGTTACGCTATAACTTGGCCAAAAAAAGGAGGTATCGAATTTGGTATGTATAGGTATAGAAGAGCGCAGAAAATATCACACATATTCCTTTTTTCCAAATTCGTAAAAGTTTTGGTTTGTTGCGTTTTTCTTTAAAAAATCAACTTTTTGAATTTTTGGGGTCAAAAATCAAAATCCCAAAACTCTGAAAATCCGAGATAACAGTTTTGTAGCGCCGTGTTTAGTCTACATGGCCATATAAAGAACTTTGAAATTACTTGGTTACGAGCGAGTGAGCGCAGCGAGCGAAGCGAGTCTTTTCAATATAACGGAAAAATCTCAGTATGAGCGGCCCGGCCCGGCCCGGCCTGTAACGCTTTTGAGAGGCTTATATCTCAGCAACCGCTGGACCGATTGGCCTGCAGTCTTTTTTGCTGGGTAGCCCCATCCCTTCTACCCCGTAATTGACTACTTTTGATGCATCGCAGTGACCGTCGTGGCACGTGCCACGTGAAAAGTCAAGGGTGTTCAAGCTGTTTTGCAAAAGTAGTGATTTTGAGAGGCTCATATCTCAGCATCCGCTTGGGCGATTGTCTTGCGGTAATTTTTGTAGGGAAGCTGCATCTCTTCTACCAAAGGTTGGATACTCTTGATCTATGTGAGTGACCCCCAGTGCACGTGCAAAATACAAAAAAAGGTGTCGAATTTGTTCCCATTTCAATAACTAGGTAATTACGGGGGTGATTTCGCTGAAACTTGGCATACAGGTAGGCACCCACCAGGAAAGCATGCCCATGTGTTGCGGTTAGGGTGCTACTGCACGGCGCACGTGCAGAGGGCGCTTCCAGATCTCGAGAACGGCTGGGCCGACTGCGCTCAAATTAGGTACACGGTTGGGGACCAGTTAGTAGGGTGCCGTGCAAAAGTCCATTTGGACTTCGTTTGCACGTGCGCACGTGCAGAATGCCGCTTCCAGATCTCAGGAACGGCTGGGCCGATTGCGTTCAAATTTGGCACACCGCTAGCGACCGTTTAGAAGGGTGCTTTGCACAAGCCCCGTTGGAAGTACCCCCTCGCCCTTCCGCACGTGCAGGGCTCACTATCTCGCTCGCTCGTTCTTCGCCCAAAAGGCGTTTTACTGGTAATTGTAGCTTTTGTGAGCGTTTCAAGATTTCATGTTTTTTGCTCATTTTTGCTCGAACATGACCTCAGTTTGACCTTAATAACTTCTGACCTAAGGCATTGAAAATTTGGTGGCGCTGCGCGCCGCCGTTTTCTTACTATTCAGGAAAAACCACAGGGGGGGGGGCAAATTGGCCCCCCAGCGGGGCGAGGAATAAGTGCGAGGTAGGCAATAAGTGCAGGGGTCGAGCGTCGTCCTCCTCCTCGCTTGAGGTGCCGACACCTACTGCGTGTGGTGACATGGCCGGTCTTTGGACAGCGGCGGCACCATGCCGACCGGTGCCCGGTAAACAGAAGCGCAGGCCGCGCGCAGACGACCCCGTCCAGGGCGCCAGTCGGCAGCGCAGTGCGGCCCGCGCGGACCACCATGTCGCCGGAGACTGTCCGCCCGCGGCTGCTGGTGGCGGTGCTGGCGCTGGTGCTGGTGCTGCAGGGCGGCCGGTGCGCCGTGGAGCCCCACTCGGCTGCCGGGCTGCACCGGTCCGGCCTGCTGCCGCTGACCCCGCTGCAGACAGTGCCGGCCGGACCGACGCTGGCGCGGCGCGCCCACTGCCTGGCCCGGTGTGTGCGCCGGGACGACTGTGTCAGCTTCAACTACGGCCAGCTGCCGGACGGCACCGCCGGCTGCCAGCTGCTCGGCAAGGCGCTCTGTCAGGCCGGCGGCGGATTCAGCGAGCTACAGAGGGACGCCGGCGTCAACTACTTTGATGTGTATCGCGGCTCGACGGTGGGCGCGGCTGAGGTGAGCACTGCAAGCACTGAGCAGGAGCGGGAAGGGTGACTGGTCACACCAGTAGCAGCACAGCTCACCGGAGGAAACTGTGGGACTGTTCCAGTCGCACTTCCTAACACCTCTAAACTCCTCCAAGACTGCAAGATAGAGGAGGTTAGAGCAGGGCCCTCCTTGACATTGTAGGGGCTAGAGCTGGCACTGAAACAGGGCAGCAATCTTAGAGGAGTTTAGAGGTGTAAGGAAGTGCGACTGGAACAAACCCTATGTCAATCGCGACTGTTTGCTAGATTCACGACCACTTCTGAGTCTCAGTACACTTGTATATCTATGCTAAAACTTGATATATATGATATGATATCATAGATATGATATATCTATGATACACTTGTATATCTATGATATATATATATATATATATATATATATATATATATATATATATGTGATAAAACCTCTATTGGGCAAGCTTCGTGACACGAGAGCCGCTGAGCTCAGCTTGACCTAGGTCAACATGAACACCCTAGGGTGACCTGTCCCAAACAAAAAGCACACCAGTCGACGCGCCCGATCATGACAAACAAGATAGTGACAAAATCGCGAATCAGCAACTATTTTTACGAAATTATTCACCAGAAATCAAACCCCTATTTTGGGTCATTTGAACTGACCTCAGAGGTCCCTGAAGTCGAGGTTTATCGGGTACCAGTCGCTGCATCTCGTATCGGCGCACACGCTCGTGTTTTCCTCGAGTCTCTAGCTAAGTTAAGGCCGCCCCACACTGGAGCTCGCATGCGGGTTGCGAGTCTGCGAATTACGGGTTTGCGGGTATCATACTCAATTACTCATTCATGGAGTGAGAACACTATTTATTCTCTTACACTCACTCCATGAATGCTGTGAAGCTAATCATGTTCAGAAAATCACGCATTAGCTCAATAACAGCACAACGAACCAACAACCGACTACAACAAAACACATCAAACCTCGCAGCCCTCGCAGCGAGGAAGACCGAAAGTTTATTCAAAGTCAAGTTTTGAAATGCGAAGCGAGGTCGCTCGCAAGTCAAAAGCTCGCAGACTCCCTCGCTATATAGTTGGCCGTGTGGATCACTCAACTTAGAATGCATATTCTCTAACTTTGAGGAAACCCGTAAAACCACAAACTTGCAACCCGCATGCGAGGTCCAGTGTGGGGCGGCCCTTAGAAGCAAAACGACGAGGGCGTTTCTGCACTAGCCCCCGCGGTATGTGGAAAACCCATAGGCCGAAGAGGGTTAACACGCGCAGTGGAAGGGTTCTGAGAACTACGCCCAGTAGAAGGGGGAGGAATGTCGACCCCCTCTAAGATCTCAGCTTCAAGGAAGCGATGGGGTTTATTGCATGCTATTGTTATGGCATTTGGTCAATATCTTCAGGTTCAATTGAGGTCAAACTGGATCAAATTTGCCAGATGAGGGTCTATTTTGTGTTTATACGTCTTTACCTCAGTTTCCGGCCCATTTCATTTTTCACTTTACGAAGGTACAGATAATTTTGAGTGCGTAGGCATTTGAGTTTGCATTCATTTGAGTTTTGGGATCATATTTAATCTGTATATTCAGAATATCTATGTAATCCAGCCATAATATGACACAATAATGACAATTATAACTCTTCTCAGAGTAAGATGTCTTCCGGTTGAGGCGAGTTCTCAGAGTAAGATGTCTTCCGGTTGAGGCGAGGAACAGCCGACGCGGGAATCATTTTAGTCACAATTTTGTGTTTACACACTCGCATCTCAAAAAGGTTACCGGGTGATTTTCGTATGTCTTTAACCATAAAATTGTATGTACATTTTAATTTTTATTATTTTTATGATATTTTGAAGCGAATCGATCGTTAGCAGCGATAAGCAGCGCAATGCAAAGACAGAACCCCCGGCGCCGGCAGCGAGAATCGCCCGGCGCCACGCCGCCGTTTCGGTGGAATTTCGACTTTACACTCTTGTGACTAGAACAGTTATTGACGGATTAATACTTGCTTTCACGGCAAAATGCGCAATTCAATTTTAGGCAGGTAATGAAAATTTGACGTTTATACAATGATAACGGCGTGAGATATTTGCGAAAAACAAAAGTGGGTCAAATTCCCCCCCCCCCCCTTCCGCTGCGCGTATTAACCTAGATCATCAGCCGGTTTGGATCAAGGGGATCAAGATACCTATAAGTTTGGATCACCCGGGACCGTGTGTGGCGTAAGCCGTGTGTTGCGGATGACCCAAGGGAGAATCACTACGAACGAAAACTGAGCGTGTGTCGTGTGTCGTGTGTTTCAGATGGCCCAGGCGGCCCTGTGGACAGAGTGTGAGACGACGGGACGCTGTGCGGTACCGCTTTGTCGTGAGTATTCAGTCTTAATGCAATAACATTAATATTTTGTAATTTATTTTTACTATCCGTACATTTTATTTCCATTTTATTGCACAGTAGCATCACCTAAATATACGTAATCATTGCGTAAGTAGACGATACCCACGATTCACTCATGCGGATAATGCCGAGTTGTTGCCGAATGCGATGAGCGAATGGGGCCATTGAAAAACGCAAATGGGGACTGGTGCTTTGTCAGTTATGTCAGTGTTGTGAGCATCAAATCATTTTTACCAGAAGCCCAGGGGTGTAATTTTTCTAAAATGATTGTGGGTGCCCAGCTGTTGGGGCGCGAGGCCGTTTCGGGGCGCAATTGATATTCTTTATGTGGGACCCTAAATAAACACCAAATTTGATAACATTGCTAGCCGAAGGGCGCTTTAAGTGACATGTCTGACTAAGCAAATACACGGTTAAAAGTGTAAAGTGACCGGAAGGGCGTAAAAAACATCCAGTTGGAGGGGCGCCAAATGTAGGGGCGCCAGACGGTTACGAGGGCGCCGTGAGACCATGAAAAGTGCGCCATTCTCCTAGAAGGGCGCCGCACAGTCGAGCGATGCACGGTAGACATGGACATAAGGGCGCGAGACGGTCAGGGGAGCGCCGGTAGACCATGAGAATACCGCGGTGCTGTCAAAAGGGCGCCATTCTCCCAGAAAGGCGCCGAATGATTAAAAACGCTATATTATCCAGGAACGCGAGACGGTCAGGACTAGGAGGACGCCGTTAGAGCATGCGAAGGGCGCCGTGCTCTCGAAAGGACGCTTGTCAAAGACTTGTGGGTGCATTTTCATCACTGTGGGGGCACAATTCAGGATTGTGGGTGCATCTGCCCCCACTAAGAGATATAGAATTACATCCCGGCCAGAAGCCAACGTTACTTACTGACTACCGTACCGACCATTTTTCGTATGCCTATTTTGATATACCTTGAATAAAGACTAAATGAATAATACAATTAACCCGTGCCCCGCTGGGGTCTGCCGATCAACGCGCCCTGCTGGGGGGGGGGGGCAATTTGCCCCCCCCCCCTAAGATCTCGAGAACCACGCTACATAGCGACAAGTGGCAAACGGTGTTGCATAGCCCCATCAGGGAACTACCTTGTGACCCAATTTCGTTGACCTAGGTCAAACCGATGACGTCACAGGTCAGGTCAAATGTCGAATTTTCACCGTTTACAGGCATTTCAAGAAATGCGTTGTAAAATCGAGTAAAATGCATTTAATTGAAAATCATCGATGGGGGAATGTTCACCTAACACATATTGTTCTATTTGAGGTCACTGATACCAGGTCAGGTCACAGAGGTCAGGTCACTGAGGGTCACAATATGAAAATATCATGTGATGCATGTTTTATGATCCATTTTATATGCCAAATACGATTATGTGGGTCAGACAGCCTTTGGGGTCAGTTAAGATTATGTTCCGGTGAAGGTCAGGTCAAGGTCAGGTCAAGGTCAGGTCAAATAAGGTCAAATTTCAAAGTTGATATTTTTGCATAAAATGGGTATCGATTCGCTGCAGCTTGTCACGGGGAGTTCAATGGTGGTTTTTGTTTTGCGCTACGTGGTCTAGAATTGCTAAAAATTGAGTTTAAAATATGACGTCATCAATTTTGAACAGTTTTTTCGCTATAACTTGGCCAAAAAAGGAGGTATTGATCTAAAATTTGGTATGTATATAGAAAAACGCGGGAAATATCACATATATTCCGGTTTTTTCGTAATCCCGAAAATTGTGGATTCTTTTTTAGTTTTTCTTAAAAAAACAATTTTTTGAATTTTTAGGGGTCAAAATCACAAAGTTTTGAAAATCCGAGATCGCAGTGTTGTAGCGCTGTCTTCTGTCTACATGACCATATAAAGGACTTTGAAATTGCTTGGTAACTGTAGCTTTTGTGAGCGTTTCAAGATTTCATGTTTTTTGCTCATTTTTGCTCGAACATGACCTCAGTTTGACCTCAATAACTCCTGACCTAAGGTGACCTAAGACTTGAAATTTGGTGTGAAGGTGTCAAATTGATGCCCGGAAAAGTACCGAAAATTTAGCAGCGGTGCGCGCCGCCGTTTTCTTGCTTTTCAGGAAAAAACACAAGGGGGGGGGCAAATTGCCCCCCCCCCCAGCGGGGCGAGGGTTAAAGGAAATATATACTACTTCTAGCACAGGGTTTTAAAGTGGAAGAGCAGTTTTGTAGCTTGAGCTGGGACTCGTACAAATCAGGAGCTTTTACAGCCCAACGATCACCTTATGGAGGTAAAGAATAAAGATATTCCATTTTTTGTCCGAAAAAGTGCGTCGTGCAGGAATGTGTCACTCGTAGAAGAATGCCAAGAATGCAGCCACCTGTCGCAGAGGCCAAGCTCAGCCAATCAGGATGCAGTTGGTTTTGAACTACGCTATACGATTGTTAATTGAAGGTGTTCCGCCGCTACTGTTCGCGGCAAACACTATTTAGCCTCTAGTGAAGATGGAATTTAGTGCTTCTTATATGACAATATTTTAAACATTCCTTTTGTAAATATTAATTATTTTCTTTTCCGATCATTTTAAGCATAAAAAATCGTCAAACTGTAGCAAAAAAAAAACCTTATTGAGGACAGTAGAAGGTACCTATAACTCCTTTAATGACGCCAAGAGTCTTCAATTAATTTCGCACAACTACCGATTTCAAACGATGTGTAAAAGCAGACATTAGTTCGTACGTACCTAAGTGATGAACCATTCTTCTAGTGGCCAACCTCTTCTAATTTCCAAAGCTATTTATCTGGTGAGTAGGTACCCACATAGGTACCCCTGGACAGTGAACAATGTACAAGTTAGGTACCATTGAATTAATGATCCAATGATGTGACATTTGCCATCTTTCACCCACTGGCGGATTCAAGGGAGAACGTGGGCCAAATGCCCCCTCGGAGCGCCCGAAATCGATTAAAATGTGTCGTGTTTTCTAGAATAGAAAGATAACTTGACAAGTTTCATTAGGGATAGTCTAAACTGCACAACAATGCGTAAGGAACCGAAATCCGAGGAGTTTTTGGAATTTGTAGAAACTTTTTTAGGGATATGCCACCCCCACAGCGTCCGATACCGCCTTTCTGGATCTGCCTATGCTGTCTTCACCCAATGGTCAAGTCGTTTCGTACAGGACTTTTCGAAAAAAAGCAAGAAATCCTTTCATCCCCCTCTGCAAATATACGATATTAGCTCCAATCAGCGCTGTTTAGCAATGACTTCCGGGTTATCAGTGTACTGATTATACACTTGACGTTCTAAAGCCGTGTGGCATGCACTTGCAAAAGTACCCACAGAGCTATAAGGTGGATAAGTTTGCATAACTTGCCAATCAGCGTCCATTAAATCAGCAAGTACCGTCATTTCTTTGGGACATTGAGAACTTTAATGTCCCTCAACCCTGAAACAATGTCGGCATGCTACAAGCCATTTACAGTTGGAATATAAACCTGGCGAGTTTGTTTGGCCACAAATTTCAGACATGATGAAGAAGAAGTCAAACGGTGTGGAATATATGGTATGGGGATAAGCTTGGAAGATAGGAAGAATGAGATAATGTAGGAAGAATAGTGTTTGGAGTGTATACCTAATGACTGACGTTGGCAGACACATTCAATTCAGGATTAACCACTGGCGGATCCAGGGGGCATTTGTGGCGAATGCCCGCGACGCCTCAAATCGATGAAAATGTACCGTTTTTTTCTAGAGTAGAAGGAATATTGAACAACTTTGGTAGGAAAAACTGTTTTAAAATGTACAGCAGTGCTTCTCAAGAGGAAGAATTCCGAGCTTTTTTATCAGCCATTAGGTGAAGCATCTTTGGGGATATTCCCCTTCCCTGCAGCATCCAAGACCGCCTTTGCGGAATTACCCTATGGGATAGACCACATATGCAAAATAGAGCGGTTTGTGTACGCTTAAAAAAAAACAACAATAAAGTCTATTTTTACGGATATATAGAACACATAATTAATTGTGACCTAAATAAAATAATGCTGGAATTTGAGTTCATCAACAATGCTTGTCTAACCGTAGAATGTGTCAGGGGTTGTCGACATGATATCAAAATATGTTATTTCCCCCTCGCCCGGCCAAAGGGTTGATGCAACTCCATAGATATTTTTCGCACATAGCGTAAAAATGAACGCGCATAGCGCTGACAACTGACACGTACGCTGTGAATTTTGAGTCCCAATGACCTCAGGTCAGGTCATCAGGTCACCAAAACCGGTACACTGTCAAAATAGCACTGAAATTTCACTATGTTTCCATGAAACCTAGAGTTTTGCATCGATTTGATTCAAAGTTGCAAAATAGGTATGTTAAGCTTAACCGGGTGTCATAATGACCGGTTTCATGACGCCTACTTAGCTAATACAAATTAAGCATGTTTGGTGAACATTTGGTGCAAATTTGGCAAAATTAGGTTCATAGGTTCATTTAGTAGGTTGTCAGCTTAACCCGCGCCGGTGCTGGTGGCCTGAGTTTTCCGTGTCGTGCTGGGGGGGGGGGGGCGTTTTCACGCCCCCCGTTTAACTCGGCTCCTGGGCCACGTAGCGACACGCGGTAAGCGGCAATCGAAAGAGCGTCAAAAATAATGGCGGAAATACTTCAGTCACGTTTAAGGTCGGGTCAAAGGTCATGTCACCAGAGGTCATCAAAGGTCAAATTTTGTCTATTTTACCAATTTTTGAAACACTCGACGGCTAACATGGGAACCAACAGAGCTACAGCACCGCGGAAAAGCGCATTCGATAGCTCTTTCAAAGGACTTTCCGACTCTTGTTCTATGATTTGACCCCAGGTCAACGGTTTAGCCTCCAAGGGGCAAACACTCTAAAAATAGCCGCTTTCACGAAACAAGCTTTTCGGTACCGTAAACGGGAGTGACATTGCCATGTTTTCAACTTAAGACTCTTGTATTCTTTAAACTTGTTAACTTATTGGGATGACT